CTCGGACGAGCACGCGCGCCAGCAGCGCCCCCTGGCGCCGCCCGGCGGCTTCCGGAATCGTTGGGCGGGGCCGCGCGGGGGGCGGGGCCGCGCGGGGGTCGGGGCCGCGCCCGCTGACGTCCTCGCGTCCCCGCCTGGCCAGGGGTCGGGGCCGCGCCCGCTGACGTCCTCGCGTCCCCGCCTGGCCAAGGGGGCGGGGCTGCGTCCACGGACGTGCGCGTCCCCGCCGGGACGGGGACGCCTTCGCCTGGTCGACTGAGCCGCGCGTCTTCTTCCTGGAAGTGGTTTAACGCTGCGGCGCTGCTGGAGGCCGGGTTGCTGACCTCCCCGGGGGCGCAGTCGCCGAGCACCCGGAACCTGCTCGCGGCCGTTGTCGCCGTCCTGGCTGCGAGTCTGATCGTGATTGGGTGGTGAGTCCTCGGGGACACCCCCCCCCAGCACCCGGCTCCCCTCCCTCGAACCCCGAAGTCGACACCCCGAACCCCATCAATCCTCGCACCGCGGAGTCCGGACCCCCTTACTTCCTCCTCCCACAGACCCGGAAGCTCAGATCCCCAGTTCCCTCCGCCCTCAGACTCGAGTCCAGACCCCTACCCACCTTTGAGACTCAGCTGTCCTGGCCCCAGACCCTAGCTTTTTGGTCCCTAAATACCCCACCCCCCTTGTAAGTGCATGTACACGCACGCGCGTCACCAACACGCCTCCCTGTTCCCCCAGATAGTTATTGATGGTTACTTCAGCAGCCACTAACAAAGGAATATTTTCCACCCTTGCCGCATTTTCACCCCGAAAATAAAGGTTTTTCACCCCTATGTCTTTTCTCTTTGTGAAAATGGTCACTGCTGAGGGGGTGAAGGTTGAAGGCTAGAGGAGGCTGTGTACCCTAAACACACTTGGGGGGATAATGACAGAAATGCCCACAGGTGTCGCCATGTCAGGTCGTTGGGTGGCTCCGTTTGAGCCCAGCCAGTATGCCATGGGTGTCTACGTGGGTCACATTACAAACCACAAACCCTGAGGGACACAGTTGTCTGGAGCACATGGGGTCACCATGGGTCACAGTCGACTTAACAGCAAGAAGTGTGTTGGGATTTTTATTTTAATACTTTTATTAGGGGCCCTTACATCTCTCATCACAATCCATACATTCATCCAGTGTGTTAAGCACCTTTGCACATAAGCTGCCATCATTGTTTTCAAAGCATTCTCTTCCCACCCGAGCCCCTGATATCAGCTCCCCATTTCTTCCCCCTCCCTCACGAACCCTTGATAAGTTACAGATTTTTTTTATATCAAGGTATAAGGACGCCCTGGTGCCTAACCCCACCCCCACCATAACCCCACAGGCAAGATTTCTGACAGACTCCTGGGTGTTCCCACCAGCAGAAGACACTTAAAAGTCCTTGAAGCCCGTCCCTCAAACCTAGTCTTCCCATGTAGGGAGTGAATTGTTTCCCCGAATAAGAAGTCAGACACATGTCTTCTGACCTGCTCATGGGGGTTCCAGCTCAAGAGTACTGAATTAGAATCTACAGCTGTAACAAAATCTCAGGTGCTTTGGGTTCCAGTTGTTCCAAGTGATCAAGTGTGTCTGGGTGTAGAGAGGCAAATTCGCAGGAGGGGGCTGAACAGGAACGAACAGGCTGAAACCCTTGCCTTTTACCCACCGTTCTGACACCATCCCTCTCCTAGCACCATCTCCTCCTCCGCTCCATTGACCTCACAGAATTCATAGATCCCAGTCTCAGTCATACCAAAATAAAAAACTAAACTCACTTGTTCAGTCAATCGCAACTCATAGCGACCCTGTAGGGTCAATCCATCTTGAAGGCCTTTCTCTTTTTCACTGCCTTGTTTGGTACTCTGGTCAAAATTAACGAGAGACAGAACTGGCTGCTATGCAATGCTTCCACACACCTTGTTTACAACGGCATTTACTGAACCTTTTTAAACCGGTTCAGAGTCCACATTCAGCCTTCTACCCACTACAAAAATAACCTAATGGGTAAAGCCACCCATGTGGTATTTCTGTTCAATTTAACTGAGCACCATTGCGTCTATTCCAATTCACAGCCACCCTCTGGGGACAGGGACCCCACCGGGGCTTACTTAATAAAGCAGTTCTACTCTGCCCTTTAGAGTTCCCTTGAGTTAGGATTGACCCGACATCAGCGTCAGTAAGGATTTGTTATTTAGACCATATAACTCTAGTGGCGTGGTGTGTTCTGCGTCGGGCTTCTAAATCTGACATGCTGTGTTTGAAACACACCAGCCACTGATGGGAGAAAGATGAAGCTGTCTGCTTCCATGGAGAGTCACAGCCTTGGAAACCCACAGGGACAGTTCTCCTGTGTCCTGCAGGGTCTGGACAGCACTGGGCTGGATTTATTTGGCTTAGGAAACAACAGCCGTAGCCTCAGGGATGGCGCCCGCGAGCCTGTACCGCGCGCGCATGCGCTCACTGTCCAAGTGAGGTACCCAGACCGCTCAGGTGGCCGGACTGCGGCAGGACGCTGGAGAGCGACACGCAATCCAGGCAGGTGCACCGCCGTGTGGTATCCATTCCTAGCGA